GGATCGGGTGTGGCTGGCACGACCAACTTGAAAAAGCTTTTCCCTTCAAGGAAGCTGGGACCCCAAGTACTTTGGGCCCCTTTTCCGGTAAAGGTGTAGTAAACAAGGGGGCCCTACGAACTTGAGTCCGGGACCTTCAAGATACACCCCTGTTTCATGTATCTCTCCTGAAGCCACCCAGCCGGATTCTTCCGGACCGTGAATCCAACCCCCGAGGCAGTCACCATAGGTACCGGGAGGAATACAAGTGGAACTATCCTCAGTTGCCGAAAAGGGGGGGGGGCCGAACAGTTCTGTAAAATGGAAAGGGGAAGGCCCCGGGGGAAACTTGGGAACCCCCCAAACATTCAGCACCCAGGCTCATCCAGGATTTTTTCGGGCCCCCGCGGGGAGAGATCAGGGGGGCTCCCGAGATCCCCATTGGGGGGGCAATGTCAGGGATCGCGGCCCCGGGATCCTGTGTCACACACCGTCCCCCGACAGGCCACTGGCAGCGGATCGCCCGGGGACACGAGCACTAGGTCCCCGGGAGCCGCGGTGAAGGGAGCCGGCATGCACAGTAAGAGCCCAGGCCGCCCTCAGGCCCCCAATGACACCCGGGGGCCGTCCTAGCCGCCAATGACGTGCGGGGGCCACAATTTAAAAAATCCCTCACGTCCCAATTGCCGCAAGGCTTCCGTGATTATCCTGACTATTCTATGGACTGATTTACCTGGCTGGCTGACCCTGCATGTGACCCGACTACTCCTTGCCCGCCGATTCGGTACCCCGCTTACCCCACGGGACCACTATCCGTACCACCCTGCTGGGGCCCGACATCCTCTTCATATCTGGCTCTCCCCCGTACCTACACACATCCCCGGCAGGCCTCCTCAGCCGCTGGTGGGCCCGCTCAGAGGTCGTGACCTGGCCCGGGACTGTTTCAAGTCCATCCCCACCATCAGGGGCCCTGGTGAAGGCACAGCCCGGGCTTAGAACCCCAACGCTCTGGGTTGGTCTGTCAGTTGGCAGCTGGAAGGCTCCGCCTGGCGGATCATCATAACACAAACCTCTTTGTCCCAACTTAAAGGATTGGAGGAGGGAAGTGGATAGGACAATGGAGGTCAAGCGTGGGTTCATACCATTAACAATACCCTGAACGAATTCCACAACATATGGTCTGGCTGGATGTACTACTCTCTAGAACTGATAGTCCAGATGGTACTGGACTCTTGACTGCTACTACTCTCAGAGAATCCCCTATGGGTTGCCTTTTGATGACATCACAGCTATTTGGAGATGCTTGACTAACCAGGGATTTAGTTTCATATTACTTGTATGCGCATAGATCTACAGTTGCAAGAAAAATTATGTGAACCCCTTGGGATTAACGTGGAGTTTTGCATGAATTGGGCATAAAATGTGCTCTGAACATCATTTAAGTCACAACAATAGAAGAACACAGTCTGCTGAACATAATACTACACAAACATTAGATATTGCCATGGTTTAAATTGCACATAACATGTAAACATTCACAGTGCAGGGAGGAAAAAAGTATGTGAGGCCCTAGCTTAATGACTTCTCCCAGAGCTATTTGGAGCCAGGAGTGAGCCAACCTTGACTCCAATCAGTGTGATGATATTGGATGTGTTGCTGACATCTGTCCTGCCCTTAAAAAAACACACACCTGTTTTGGGTTTACTGGTTTCAAGAAGCACTGTCTGATGTGAACCATGCCTCGCAGAAAAGAGCTCTCAGAAGACCTACAATCAAGAATTGTTGACTTGCATGAAGCTGGAAAGGGTTACAAAAGTATCTCCAAAAGCCTTGATATTCATGTGTCCATGGTAAGACAGACTGTCTACAAATGGAGAAAGTTTAGCACTGTTGCTACTCTCCCCTAGGCGTGGTCCTCCTGTAAAAATGACTGCAAGAGCACAGCACAGAATGCTACATGAGGTAAAGAAGAATCCCAGAGTGTCAGCTAAAGACCTACAGAAATCTCTGACACATCTACAATAAGGAAAACATTAAACAAGAATGGAGTACATGGGAGGACACCACGGAGGAAGCCATTGCTGTCCAAAAAGAATATTGCAGCATGTTTGAAGTTTGCAAAAGAGCACCTGGATTGTCAGGAATGGACTGGCCAGCAATGGTGGGACTCACCTGCCTTTTGATCTGCAGTACCAGGGCTGGCCAGCGGGTGCTCCCAGCAATCAGAGACTCAACCTTTCAGCCAGCTAACACACTGGAACTGATTATACTGTTGTATTTAAGGGATGGCCAGACCTGCAGACTCTGCCTTGGTGTTTGTGTTTGTCCTGGGCCCTGTATCTGTCCTGCATCCTGTTTCTGTTCCTTTGCTGACCCTGCCTGATCTGAACCTGCTGCTGACTTCTCCTGTTCTGATCCCTGGCTTGTAACCCTGACCATCCCTCTGGCCTGACCCTCTGTACTACGCTGCTTGCTACCTGCTGAACCGGCCTGTGACCCCGACCAATCTCCGCTTGCTCCCCCTGTACCTACCTGCCCTATTGATATTGACCCGGCCTGCCTGACGACGCTTGCTTGTATGTACTGTTATCTGTGGGGTGGTTGGTTGGTTTGTTTGCACTGTAATATGTTTTAGTATTGCACTGCGTTTATGTTTGTATTGTTAGTGTTAATAAATTAATATATTGTTTATCACATATCTGAAGTCTGCGTTTCCCTGCGTCAGTCACACACTCTGGTCATACCCGGGAGCCCTGACATTACACCAAGGCCAATTCCTGACCAGAAGTGGCTGCACAGGGAAGCCATCTTGGTTTGTTGATGGGAAGGATGGATCTGGATGAGGTTGCGCATTTATATCTGCTAGTGTTTGATGACAGGGAGTATGCTTATCAAACTCTGAAGGAGTATACCCGGGATGAACTGCTAGAATGTATACGGCTCGCTCATGTTCTAGTAGATCAGGGCACAGAGTTCTCTGAGGTGCAGCCTTTGATTGAGGTTTGTGCTGAGTTGGTTTCATCTGGTACCCCCCGCCCGAATGCAGGGATGAATTTTTGCCACCATTTTAGTGCAGACCAGGTAGAGTCCCTGGTGTGGTTATTAGAGGATGATGTGGGTTACTTTCTGGAGCGTTATTCCACATGTTTCACCACAGGTACTAAGAGATTGTATAAACGCAGTGCAGTCTTTGGTCAGACAGGCTTTGTGTAAGCTCAGCTTTGTTCAACCCATACTGCAGACATGGACAGACTTGTTGCACCCAGCCTCAGTCAGCTTACAAAAAGCCAGTCCTGCTTCTAATCTATTTCCTCAAAACTCTATTCCTCTGCATTCCCAACAGCTCCTCCTGCCCTGCTATCTACCGCATGTCAGTACCCTGTTCCCACTCGTTGCACCTATCCTGCCTTTAACCGTGTAAAAAAGCCCTCTGTAGCAACTGCTCCCTCTCTCCCTGTTCCATCCTCCAGTTCTTCTCTGTCTCCAGCTGCTCCATTCGTTTGCAGACCTGCGTTTACTTGCAGTGCTCCAGTAGTTAAAACCAGAAAAAAGCGAAAATTCTTTCCAACCAATACCATCCTGCCAGTATCCAAACCGGTGAACCTGCCTTCCGTGGTTCAGCCTGAATCCTCTACTCGGCCTGAATCCTCTACTCGGCCTGAATCCTCTACTCGGCCTGATGCCTGTACTCGGCCTGATGCCTGTACTCGGCCTGATGCCTCTACTCGGCCTGATGCCTCTACTCGGCCTGATGCCTGTACGCAGCCTGATGCCTCTCTTCAGCCTGAAGCCTCTACTCGGCCTGAAGCCTCTACTACGCCTGAAGCCTCTACTCAGCCTGATGCCTCTACTCAGCCTGGTGCCTCTACTCAGCCTGGTGCCTCTACTCAGCCTGGTGCCTCCACTCAGCCTGATGAACTGATCCAGCCTGATGATCCTATTAGGCCAGTTGACTCGATACCCGCTGTTGACCCAGACGATCCGGTACCTGATCCAGTGCCCGCTGTCGTGCCAATTGACTCAGAGCCCGCTGTCGTACCTGGTGACTCGGTGCCCACTGCCTTGCCAGATGACGCGGTGCCCGCTGGCGAGCCAAATGACTTGATGCCCGGTGACCCGATGCCCGCTGTCCAGTCAGACGATCCAATGTCTGACCCAGTGCCCGCGGTCATACCAGTTGACTCGGAGCCCACTGCCTTGCCAGATGACGCGGTGCCCGCTGTCGAGCCAAATGACCTGATGTCTGGTGACCCAGTGCCCGCTGTCATACCTGGTGACCCGATGCCCGCTGTCGAGCCAGACGATCCAATGCCTGGTGACCCGGTGCCCACTGCCTTGCCAGATGACGCGGTGCCCGCTGGCAAGCCAAATGACCTGATGCCTGGTGACCAAGTGCCCGCTGTCATGCCAGTGGACTCGGAGCCCACTGTCGTGCCTGGTGACTCGGTGCCCGCCGCTTCGCCTGGGGGCCCGAGACCTGTCGCTCCGCCTGAGGGCCCGAGACCTGTCGCTCCGCCTGGGGGTCCGGGGCCCGCCGCTCCGCCTGAGGGCCCGAGACCTGTCGCTCCGCCTGGGGGTCCGGCGCCCGCCGCTCCGCCTGAGGGCCCGAGACCCGTCGCTCCGCCTGGGGGTCCGGCGCCCGCCGCTCCGCCTAAGGGCCCGAGACCTGTCGCTCCGCCTGGGGGTCTGGCGCCCGCCGCTCCGCCTGGGGGCCCGAGACCTGTCGCTCCGCCTGGGGGTCCGGCGCCCGCCGCTCCGCCCGAGGGCCCGAGACCTGTCGCTCCGCCTGGGGGTCCGGCGCCCGCCGCTCCGCCTGGGGGCCCGATGCCTGTCGCTCCGCCTGGGGGTCCGGTGCCCGCCGCTCCGCCTGGGGGCCCGATGCCTGTCGCCCCGCCTGGGGGCCCGATGCCTGTCGCCCCGCCTGGGGGCCCCAATGCCTGTCGCCCCTCCTGGGGGCCCGGCGCCCGCCGCTCCGCCTGGGGGCCCGGTGCCTGTCGCCCCGCCTGGGGGCCCGGTGCCTGTCGCTCCGCCTGGTGGCTCGGTGCCTGCTGCTCCGCCTGGTGGCTCGGTGCCTGCTGCTCCGCCTGGTAATCCGATGTGCCTCTGCCCGGAGTCCAGCCCGATGTGCCTCTGCCCGGAGTCCTGCCCGATGTGCCTCTGCCCGGAGTCCTGCCCGATGTGCCTCTGCCCGGAGTCCAGCCCGATGTGCCTCTGCCCGATGTGCCTCTGCCCGGAGTCCAGCCCGATGTGCCTCTGCCCGGAGTCCAGCCCGATGTGCCTCTGCCCGGAGTCCAGCCCGATGTGCCTCTGCCCGGAGTCCAGCCCGATGTGCCTCTGCCCGGAGTCCTGCCCGATGTGCCTCTGCCCGGAGTCCAGCCCATGTGCCTCTGCCCGGTGTGCCTCTGCCCGATGTGCCTCTGCCCGGAGTCCAGCCCGATGTGCCTCTGCCCGATGTGCCTCTGCCCGGTGTGCCTCTCCCCCGATGTGCCTCTGCCCCGTGTGCCGCTGCCCGGAGTCCTGCCCGGTGTGCCAGTCTTTGATATCCCGCCAGTTACCAGACCCGGGCGGTGGAACATTTTCCCAGCTAGGACTGTTTGGAGCGTCCTGAGGCCGCTCCTTGAGGGGGGGGTACTGTCAGGAATGGACTGGCCAGCAATGGTGGGACTCACCTGCCTTTTGATCTGCAGTACCAGGGCTGGCCAGCGGGTGCTCCCCCAGCAATCAGAGACTCAACCTTTCAGCCAGCTAACACCTGGAACTGATTATACTGGTGTATTTAAGGGATGGCCAGACCTGCAGACGCTGCCTTGGTGTTGTGTTTGTCCTGGGCCCTGTATCTGTCCTGCATCCTGTTTCTGTTCCTTTGATGACCCTGCCTGATCTGAACCGCTGCTGACTTCTCCTGTTCTGATCCCTGGCTTGTGACCCTGACCATCCCTCTGCCTGACCCTCTGTACTACGCTGCTTGCTACCTGCTGAACCTGGCCTGTGACCCCGACCAATCTCCGCTTGCTCCCCCTGTACCTACCTGCCCTATTGATATTGACCCGGCCTGCCTGACGACGCTTGCTTGTATGTACTGTTATCTGTGGGTGGTTGGTTTGGTTTGTTTGCACTGTATTATGTTTTAGTATTGCACTGCGTTTATGTTTGTATTGTTAGTGTTAATAAATTATATTGTTTATCACATATCTGAAGTCTGCGTTTCCCTGCGTCAGTCACACACCTCTGGTCATACCCGGGAGCCCTGACATGGATGTTCCACAGCACTACTGGCAAAATATACTGTGGACAGATGAAACCAACATTGAGTTGTTTGGGAAGAACACACAACACTATGTGTGGAGAAAAAAAGGCACAGCACACCAACATCAAAACCTCATCCCCACTGTAAAACATGGCGGAGGGAGCATCATCGTTTGGGGCTGCTTTGCTGCCTCAGGGCCTGGACGGATTGTTGTCATTGATGGGAAAATGAATTCCAGAGTTTATCAAGACATTTTGCAGGAAAACGTAACGACCATCTGTCCGCCAACTGAAGCTCCGCAGAGGATGGGTGATGCAACAGGACAATGGCCCAAAGCATACAAGTAATTCAACAAAACAATGGCTGCAACAGCACAGAATACACCTTCTGGAGTGGCCCAGTCAGAGTCCTGACCTCAACCCGATTGAAATGCTGTGGCATGACCTTAAGAGAGCGATTCACACCAGACATCCCAAGAATATTGCTACACTGACACAGTTTTGTGAAGAGGAGTGGTCCAAAATTACTCCAGATCGTTGTGCAGGTCTGATCTGCAACTACAGGAAACATTTGGTTGAGGTTATTGCTGCCAAAAGGAGGGTCAACCAGTTATTAAGTCCAAAGGTTCACATACTTTTTCTTCCCTGCACTGTGAATGTTTACATGTTATGTGCAATTAAACCATGGCAACATCTAATGTTTGTGTAGTATTATGTTCAGCAGACTGTGTTCTTCTATTGTTGTGACTTAGATGATGTTCAGAGCACATTTTATGCCAAATTTATGAAAACTCCACATAATCCCAAGGGGTTCACTTACGTTTTCTTGCAACTGATAGTCCTTGGACCTTTTTATATGTAACATGTCTGCTCACCCCAACCGTAGCCTGCTAATACCCAGTGATCACTGTTTTTCCTCTCCTTATTATGCTTGTGTTTTAATGCCTTTGGACACATTTTTTTATATGTCTGTGTTTCGCACTTCATTTCATGCTAGGACAAGGGACAATACTTATGTCATATTTTCTCGAATGGCCTGTACCTGGTTACAATTTAGTTGCCCGTTCAGAGCTCAATGGTCGTGTGTAGAGACGTAGCTCCTGCACGACCACTGAACTTTCATGTACTAACAGCACCTATCCCTAAAGCCCTTAGTAGCGGGCGGTTGCTGGAATGGTGCTCAGGCTTGTCAACACAGAATCTCTAATTTTGTAAACTGTATTGTTGTCTCTGTTCTTAACTATTTGTACTTTTTTTGCAATTTTGTTTTGTTTTATATCAATAAAACAGATTATAAAAAAAAAACCTTACTGTGTTTTTCAGCCTGTTTGTGCCATCCTTGATGAGCTTCTGAACCTCTTCCCTTCACTTCTATTTGTTCGGAAAAGCAGTGTAAATTCGTTGCGGTCATGTGCACTGCTATATGCACACTACACGTCCCATAGTCCATAATAGTAAAGAGCAAGAGAAGGTGACAATTTTCCAAGCTTGGCTCTGAGCAGACATGAATAGTGAGTTCAGCTGACAAGTGAAGCCTGAATCTGATGATTTTATGGCATTTTCTTCATTACTACATGTGAGTGTATTACTGCTTCTTAATACATTTTTATATCAGTACATACTGCACTATGGGAGTGTCCTTTGTTCCCTTTTAAGGATAGGAATGTGTGACCTCCATCACCCTGAAAGGGACCGATCCCTGGCTCTGGTTTGACAATCTATTGAAAGCTCAAAAGGTGTTTGATTACTATCACATGGCTGTGGATTGAAAAAGTGAAGAATGCTTTTGTCTATTTGATATCATAAAGCACATTTCTATGTTCTCTGAGGTGAGAGTTCTGTGAGCACTGAGGTGGCACTATATGTTATGTGCACTATTTGATGGTGTTTGGGATATCAGCACAAGAAGAAAGCAGATGAATTCTGGAAGAATCTTTATTACAAATTGATTGATTTTACAGATATGAACTCATTATGGACGTTTTATTCAGCTATGTCACTCTTTTTTTTTTTTTTTTTTTGTAGCTATTATTTAGCAGCTCTACATCACTTATTTTTAATTTGCTTTACTATTGTGGGAACGCAATTTGATGTTAGCAGTAGCCACCATCATCACACTAATTTTATTTTCCTTTCTGCTTGTGTGCATTTTTTTTCCCCCTCTCTCTCTCATTATTGAGG